CCCGTGGGAAGGCCCTTGGTGCGGAGCCGGCCTGCAGAACCCTGCTCCGCAGCGTAGAGCGCCAGCGCGTGCGTGTCGCACCAGGGCGCCTGGTTTTGGTGGTGGTACCGCCAGTTTAATCTTTCAGGCTGCGTAGGCCTGTTTTGAGATGTTAACTTGGAGTGTGTTGCCTTCGCAGGTCAGAATGGCATCGGATGAGGGGAAGCTCTTTGTCGGTGGACTGAGTTTTGACACCAACGAGCAGTCGTTGGAACAAGTCTTCTCTAAGTACGGACAGATTTCCGAAGGTAGGGTGCAGTGTCCAGCTGTGATGACCTCCAGGAGCTTCTTAGAGCGCAGGGGTGCTGATGCTTTTTTCCTCCTCTGTAGTGGTTGTGGTGAAAGACAGAGAGACTCAGAGATCCAGAGGGTTTGGCTTTGTTACTTTTGAAAACATAGATGACGCTAAAGACGCGATGATGGCCATGAACGGAAAGGTAAGGAGGCTTTGGCACAGCTTTTTTGATTTCCTTAAAATATCGCAAGTTTGAAAAAGTATGTGTTTGTTCAGTGCTGTTCGGAAAAGCAAATAAATAGTGGTAAAGTAACGGAACTGTTGAAGGTGATTAGTGCCAATTAAGTTTCATGAGTTAACCCCTGTGGCTGGAGAAGTGGTGCCCCGTAGGAACGCCCGTGTGCGCGGCGTGACCGTGGGTTTACTTGGGCAGTTGGCTGGGGGCCTAAGCAGAACCGGTGGGTTGCGGAGCGGGCGCGAAGGGGCGTGACTGTACTTGAGCTGTGCTGCTTAAACGCTGAGACACTCAACTGGGGTTTGCTTTCTGCCAGTCTGTAGATGGACGTCAGATCAGAGTCGATCAGGCTGGAAAATCCTCAGAGAACAGATCTCGTGGATACAGAGGGGGGTCTTCCGGGGGCAGAGGCTTTTTCCGTGGTGGCAGAGGTCGGGGCCGTGGCTTCTCTAGAGGTGAGTGTGCACGAAGGGGTTGCTGTGCCCAAGGCGGTGATGGTGGCAGCGGGTCAGAATGCTTCAACCCCCCCTGTGGGGTGTCTGTTCCAGGAGGTGGAGACAGAGGCTATGGCGGAAGCAGGTTTGATTCCAGAAGCGGAGGATATAATGGCTCCAGAGACTACTATAATAGCAGGTAAAGGCGGATCGTGGGTTGCCTGAAGCGCTGTTGCCTGTTGCCGCAGAGGTCTGTAGGCTCCCAGAGTTGAGCAAATCCAAAGCGTGTGTTCTTCCCAGCAGGAGTCAAGGTGGCTATGGCGACCGGAACTCGGGAGGATCCTACAGAGACAGCTATGACAGTTACGGTAAGTCTTGGTTCAAATGGGAACGATGAGTACGTGTGCTGTAGGAGCTCTAAACCTCTGAGCCTGTACTCGAGTCTGGAATACTGAACGGCTCGCTTGGACCGTGCCACGATTCCCGTTCTTTGTCCGTAAGAGCCAATCCCTCAGGCTTCGGCCGTGGTGGTGCCGGTTTAAGTTGCTAATTTGTAATGCATGTGTAGGAGTTGCTCGGATCTAAGGCGCAAAGCAAGTTGTTAAAATACGTTCCTCGAGCTTGAGACTAAGACAAAACTCGGATGCCCTAACAAACTTTAATCAAGGGTGGGGGAGTTCTCCTAGGGTGTAGCCAAGTAGCGCTAGCTTCGGAAATAATGCGAGGGAGTAAAATGCTGGAACTTGTCTATGCTTCAGTGCCTTTACAACTGTGCCTGCTTCTTGTCCTCAGCTACACACAACGAGTAAAAACCCTTCCTGACTCAAGATCGTCCTTCCAATGGCTGTATTTATAAAGATTTTTGGAGCTTCGCTGAAATGGTTATTGTGTAGTACATCTACTTGTATTTTCACTTTTGTAGTATTATCAGTTCTGATCTTGTCAAACACAGCCTGACAGCTTCTGATAGAAGATGGTCTCGTTAGACTTTTCTTGAAGAAAGCTCTGCTTTCAAAGTGGTTTTAATCTTGTTTTTGAAAGCACTTCAGATTTTATTTTACCCTCTGTGACGAGCCAAGGTTGTTTTTTTTTTGTTGTTGTTTTTTTAAAGTTGGGCCCCCAATTCAGTTTCTTTTGAGCTAGAAAGGACCTTGAATTCACTGTTCACTGGAAGCTGAACAAGCTGTGGATTTTTTCTTTTTATTTTTTTTTTAAGTGCATTACCTTCGTCTTTTGTAACATTCCTTTAGTGTAGCAAGGTAGGAATGCAGCCTGGGTACAGATTGGAAGGCAAACCACCTTGATATATCTAAAGAGAAACTTGCTTGTATGTTCAACCCGCATAACGGTATTTTTACTGTTGTAACGATGTAAATGACCCAGAAAGACTTGCAAACTTACCATAAAAGAGGTTCTTGAAAATGTTTATTTATATTGTCCTTTTTTACTGGAAGAAATATGCATATTCCATTGATATTGTATTTGAAGTGGTGAAGGATTCTTGTATACAGTTTGCTCTGGCTTTACGAAGCCTATTAAAAGACCGTCTGAAATGAACTCTGCTCCTGCCATTGACATTTCATTGCACAACACAACCCTCGAGGATGAAGAACAGTCTGAGTAGAGGATGCCAGAGGAGAAGACTAGTGACAGTGTAAGAGCGAGCCAGAGTTCCTCACCAGTTGCTAGAATTGAATCTTAAACCGGTCTTTGACACGTGAGTCCCTCGACGTAACCCTCGATTAAGGTTAATCGCCGAGGCAGAGGACTGAAAGCACGTGCTGTAGATGTGGTAGTACTGGAAGCCGAAGTGAGGGAATGTTGGTGTTAGGTAGGAGAACGGATGTTGCCTTAAAACGCTGGGATAAGCCTACGTTGAACCGCTGTAGTGAAGAGTCAGTCCTTGAGTACCGGACTAGGGGCGAGCGTTGCTCAGTGGGAGGTGAACTGCCGTGATTAGCTAGCCTTGTCATTGCCTTACAAGTTCTAAGAATTCTTTGCTAGCATATGGAAACTGCAGTGTCCTTGGAGAAAAGAAGTGTTGTGCCTCCAACAGAAACCTCTGAGACGAAAGCTGCTCTCTTGGCTAGTTCATATGTGGAAATAGTCCTGTAATTCGAGGTAACTCCTTTTGCTCATGTCCGCATCCTTCCTCTTGTTGAGAGCTCATTTTGACAGTCTAATGTACCCGTGAAATAGTCCTTTTGACAATTTTGGTCAAGTGATGGAAAAATTGTAACCCATGCCGTATGCAACCTTTGGCTTGTGGCACACCTCGAGTTCCACAGATCAGAGTTGGGCATGCAGTCGCGTCTTGCTAGTAGGTACGGAAGCAAGATGGGAAACGAATTCCCTGACTCGATATGTGTTCATCTATTGAGAATCTTCCTAGACTTCATTAAGTTGCTCACTTTAATTGTAGCTTTCTTTGCCATCCTCCTTGTTGCCATTAACTTTTTCCCATAGCCCACACTTCCTAAGCAGCCATGGCAAAGTGGTTAACTCCCTGCTTAGGCAGCAAATGATCCGCTGGCTGGCATTTTCCTCAGCCGGCCCCGCAACAGTTTTTTCCCAAACTGTGCTTCTGTGGTGTGATGGGTTCAGCGAATGGCTCGTGGGACCCTCGTACGATGTGACCTGTCGGGGGGGGCGGCGGGTGGCAGGGTCGACGCGCTCCTGCTCGACGTTTCCATTAACGCGCTTTTGCTTTGGCAGGCTGAAGGGGAGACGGATGCTCCGCGTGGAAGCTGAGTGGGGATTCTGAGGAAGGAGAGCGTTCCGAGGAAGCGGGACCGAGGCACTAGGTTGCCAACCAGGTAATGGCTACAGTTGCCCCCGTAGCTTCTTCTGAGCCAAAAGCTTTGGCTCCCTTAGTTTCGTAGTACCGCCCCGTGAGCGGGAAGGTCTGGCTCCAGGGGTTTCTGGGTGAAAACTCCATGGACTTCACATTCACTCTCGCTGATTCTCTTCCAGCAGTGAAAGAGAAGCCCGAGGACAGCCTCTTGAGTGTGGAGATGAAGAGCTTTGAGCCGTGGTGTTACTGGTTTGATACAGGTCAATTAAGTGAGAATAAACACTGGAATGTGGGAAAAAACTCAAATCTGCAGTGCTTTTGTGGGGAGACGGGAATACTGGGTCGTGGCAAAGGCATGTGGAGGAAACGTGGTTTTCTGGTGTCTCTCCCAGGTGAAGGCACCAAACACTGCAGCACTGTTCTGGCTGGGGGTTGTGCAGGGAGGGTGCCCTGAGGGAGAAACTCAATCCCATCCTCAGTACCTGGAATGAAGTGGCCCGATGCCATGAAGTTTGTGCCCCTGAAGGGAGGGAGCTGCCAGGTGAGCGGTGACGGGAACAAGGAGGTGGTGTTTGCGCGCAGCAGGAGCTGCTGCTCCCGGCTGAAACGGGAACGAACACGGAAGCCCAATTCGTGCTTAAATGCCAGAGCTTTTTTGAGTTTGGATAGTGGATTAGTCCATAATTCCAGCTTCATCCCGTGGAAACTGGGTGCCTGGGGATGAGAATTGGGACAAGACCGGGGTTGGAGCAGGGCAAGCTGTGCACCTTTGACTCCTCAGGTGGATGCTGGGGGCGCTTGGGCTTCATAAAGGGGCGCAGGGTGGTAGTGGCGGGGTAGTAGCTGGTTTTGCCACTGGGGTTGGTGCCGGGAAGGTGCCCTGTACAGCTGTGGGATGAAGAACGAGCTGCCTGCAGGAGTTGCTGGGGAAGCGCAGTCCTGGGAGCAATCTTTAAAAACGTTGGCCTGTGAGTAAAGAGCCTCAGAGTCCGGGCAAATCCTACTGTAAGGGGTGTGGGCAGCAATGGGAAGGAGCAGTGCAGCCCGGGATGGATGGTGAAGGAGCCGCCGGCTGCGGAGACGGCAGTTCCGTGTTGATCCCTGGATGGCTAATGAAAGACTCGACACCCTCTTCCTAATGAGCAAATGTTGCCTCCTATTGGCAGTGCTGGCTGCATTCTCAGACTGTTGAGTGCAGGAGTGGAAACGCCGGGGTTGGGGTGTTAAACCGAGGTTCCTGAAGGCTGTTCTGTAACTGCTGTAGTTCTGGTTGCCCTGCCTTAACATCCAAAGGCCCTGCGGCTCTTTGCACCTGAGCGCGGCTCGTGGGCGCTAGAGGTGGGGTTTTCCTTGCTCCGTGGAAGGGAATGGGGGCTTCCTGGCAGGAAGTTTGCACTCTCGAGTTGAAATACTGAACTCTGGTCTGCTAACCTTGACCTCTAGCAGAGTTTGGAGCCTTGTGTGCTGGAGTATCCACAGAGGTCAAACTTCCCATCCCCTAGCTCCCGACTGGTGTTTTCTCCAGCCCAGTCCTAAGTCCCGTGTTCAAACTGAACCATCAGAAAGATAAACTATCCTGGACAAACTGCCCTGTTCTCACATGTAGAATACCGATTCCTAATGTTTTCTTCGCTCTCTGCCTACTCCCTGGTGTGTAAGGAAGTTGGGTGAGTCCTGGTTGCTGAATTCCTCCAGCTGGTCCTCGTGTGCCTCAAAAGGGCTCTCCCAAGTAGGGATGGATGTGATCCTGCTGTAACTCAAGCCTAAAAGTTAGGTGACAGCCCTTCGGGCTATCACCGCCATGCCAACCTGTACCCTGGCCACGCTTCGCCGTGGAACAAGCAGCTGAGATGGCTTTGACCCCGCTGGTCTGAGCAGGGGCTGGTGCCGGGCTCTAAAACGAGCGCTGCCGTCCTGAGTCCTGCTGGCACCGGGCTCGTTCGGCTCGGACGGAGTTCATGCACGTGCCTGATGCTCGTGGAAAACGAGAACTCTACGCTGCGGGACAGGCTGAGGGCTGCGGGTGTGTTTTCGGCAGCTTTGGAAAGGACGGGGCAGGAGGCCGCAGTGCGATGCGTAAAGGCAGTAAGAGGGTTTGATGGCCTCTGCTACTGTCCTGCCCATCTTCCTGTGGAAAGAACGAATTTCACCCCTCTATCCTGTTTTCCCTTGCAATTTTACTGATGCTTCTCTGGCGTTCGGTTGTGTCACGCCCCGCTTGAAGGACAGTCTTCTGAGAGCAGTGTATTATGCAAAAAACCCCCTGCTCACACAGCCTAGGTGCCTTTGAAGACGTGACGTGGGTGTTGTGCCCGGTGACAATTACTGCTGCGGCGTCTGAAGGGCAGAACCGGTGGTGCGTTCTCCGGACCGCGCTCTCCGGGCGGGTTATTACGGAGCTCCTGGTGGTTTGCCAACCTGCTGAGCTCCTGCACTTGGGTTGTGGTGTCGCTTGGATCGGCTCTCCGGAGCAGACGGGACGGAGGCCAGACACTGAGCTGGTATAAATGAGCTAAATTAATGGGTAAAGCCAGCTTTAAAAACTTGTGCTCTTATTAAGAAATGTTTTCTCTTGTTGAGGAGTCCCAGGCAGAGGAATTCACTGACGTAGTGCTGGCTCCAGCCGATTTACCGTTCCCGGAGCAGTGATGGCCCGGGGCCATCCGTGTATGCAGAATGGGAATGGTTATAGCACTTCCCAAGCCTACTTCTTCTTTTTTTAACCTTTTTCAAATTATCCAAGTGAGCAGGGTTTAAAAGAAGAAGTAGGCTGATACGGCCCCCAAAAGCGCCCTATCTAGCAGGTCACCGGTGAGGATTTTGCTTGTTAACAAAGGACGATACTAAACACAGGGGCACGGGGGTGCGAGAACTCTTTGCCGATTAAAAATGCCATCGGGGTGACGTTTAAACAGATTCAAACTGTAAATACTGACAAAGCATTGTTTGAAAGACCTAAATAGGATGCTTAGATGCTTAAACGCAGGCAGAAATAATTAATAGGCGCAAAAAAACCCCAGAGGCCTAGTTTGAGGTGCTGTTATTTTAGCATTGCTAATTACGGCAGCGCATTAATGAGTCGTTGCTGGGATGGGTTGAGGGAATAGCTAGCTGGATGCAAAACCCAGTCGTATCGTTGGAAAAGTGTTTGGGTTCCTTGGGCCTGATGTGACATCTGCTGGGGTGACCCGTTTCCAGCCAAAATGCCCTTTTCTTCAAGTTCTGTGTCTCGGGGCAGCCTGGGCCCTTCCCTGAGAGGAAAGCTATGCTTCAGGGTGGCTGACGGACCCCCGGTCTGTCCTGAGCCGCTGTGGAGAAACTAGGTGGTTGTTGGAAAAGGTCAAAGTGCTCGGGTTTCAAGCAGTTTTCACGTCTGGTTGGAAAATCGCCATCGTGTTGGGAATGGCTGGCTCTGAGGGGACAATGATGGAGGCAGATGTGCTGTGAGGGGAGA